GCACAGCTTCTGTATCACGTGGTATAAGGCTCCGCCCTTGTCATTTGTTGAGCAGGAAGAGTGAGCGCTTGTTTTCATGTAGATTACGTCCCGGATCAAAATGCGGTACAATTGTCGTTGTCTTTTTTTTTTTTTTTAAATCGTTGTCATTTGGAAATGAGATCGCACATAAGTATGAATCGAGATCGCGATTTTCTAACGATTAATCGTGCAGCCCTACTGTCAGGTGCCAAAAAAATAAACCTTAGAATCAAACCGTAGAATCAGCTTTTCCCCGCAGCACGCTGTGTAATAAATACTCACAAAGAAAATGTCTAAAAATGTATAGTTTCATGCATCGGTTAAAACACTTGACTCCAGGTACACGACCGGCTAAGAAGAAGAACCCCCACCCCCACCCAAAAAAAAAAAACCCTTTACCCAAATCGAGTTGCCTGACATTCACGGAATTTACAGAAATTGTAACATTTTTGTGATATATACCGTTGTCGGGACGATAGATGTCTTTATATCGGGATATGAAATTTGGTCACATCACACAGCCCTATACAGAAATGCAAACTATTTTTGTCTATTTCTAGTACAGCTGTTTTTAAGTGTGGGTGGTGTACAGTACTTCAAAAAGCAACATGTTCAATGTTGTACACAGCGCTTTAAAAAAAGTTTGTCTTTACCTGCTAAAGAGGTCATCCCATTTGAGAGAGACTACCTCCTGATACTCTGATTTCTCCAGTAAGCAGTCACACAGAGTTGGGTTGATGGTCACGTAACTAGTAAGGAGGACAAAAATAGTGAGGCTTGAGGGATGGCACTAAACAGGGAGCATGCTGCACTGTTAAGCCATGCCAGCTTTGTGGCAGATAGTTTATTTTCTCCCATAAATCACTGCTAGTTTGTTTCACATCAGATGAGGAACAAATTATTAGAAAAGGAAACATGAGATGTTTTTTGGAGTCTCAGAGTCACATTTAAACATTTTAGCTTATTATAATGTTATTAAGGTCAGTTCTGTATTTAATAGTCAGTGAGACTGCTGTTCACCACCACGCCCGGTTCAACTCAGGAGCGTGGTCTCCAGGTTTTCAATGTTTAGTTGTTCTGTGTTCTTCTGTCTGTGGTTTTTCAAATATCCACTTTGAATCACAGTAGAGTTTTGAACAGCCTCTTACTTCTTATTATTTTCATCCACCAGCTCATTGTCCTTCACATACTCCGTGACAATACTTCTTACTTCAGCAGGATGCAGTGTAGCTCCTTTCCTAAAGAGGCAACAAAGCACACATTAGTATCACCGATCAATACAAATGAGAAAAACTTATAAAGGCTACCTAAGCTTTAATAAAAATATCTACTTTCTTTTGATTAGTCTATTAGGAAATAAACTCATCTATATAAAGCAACACAGCTAGAAAAAAAACTGCAGATTTAAAGTTGAATCAGCAGTTTTACTCATCCATCCATCCATCTTCATCCGCTTTATCCGGGGCCGGGTCGCGGGGGCAGCAGCCTAAGCAGAGAACCCCAGACCTCCCTCTCCCCAGCCACCTCCTCCAGCTTATCCGGGGGAACACCAAGGCGTTCCCAGGCACTCGATCAGCGTGTCCTGGGTCTGCCCCGGGGCCTCCTCCCGGTGGGACATGCCTGGAACACCTCCCCAGGAGGCGCCCAGGGGGCATCCTTGTCAGATGCCCGAACCACCTCAGCTGGCTCCTTTCGATGTGGAGCAGCAGCGGCTCTACTCTGAGCCCCTCCCGGATGGCCGAACTTCTCACCCTATCTCTAAGGGAGAGGCCAGCCACCCTTCGGAGGAAGCTCATTTCTGCCGCTTGTATCCGCGATCTCGTTCTTTCGGTCACTACCCACAGTTCGTGGCCATAGGTGAGGGTAGGGACGTAGATCGACCGGTAAATTGAGAGCTTCGCTTTTACACTCAGCTCTCTCTTCACCACGACGGACCGGTGCAGTGTCCGCATCACTGCAGCCACAGCACCAACCCGTCTGTCGATCTCTGGCTCCCTTCTCCCATCACTCGCGAACAAGACGAACAAGGGCGATCGTGGCTCAAGAGTTGGGTGTTCGTCTTGTAATCGGAAGGTTGCTGGTTCGAGCCCTGGCTCGGACAGTCTCGGTCATTCTCTC